CAGTTAAAGCGGGGAGCAGGGGGCGGAACAGGGGGAGGCGACGGTCTCGATCCCCACAGCCGTTCCCCGCAGCTGGCTCTGACCCTGGGAGACAGCCCAGCTCCTATTCCCAGGGCAGCCCCCAACTGCTGCAGGGATTAGCAGGGCAAAGGGGGCACTGCCATGATGTTCTTTCCCCCTCCCCTCACGGCCAGCTCAGGCGGAACGGGGAGGGGGCGGGGGGGGGGGCATCTGGTTTTACAGCTTCCTAAGAAATCCTAAGCCGGCTGGAGAATGAGCAGCCGGCTCTTTCCGGGGCACCGCTAGGCAGGAGATGGACAAGGATGTGCCCAGGTGTCCCGGGGAGCCCTCAGCCGGTCAGGGACCCCCGTCAGACCCTTCGGCTGCCCTGACGGGAACATCCATGCAAGGGGCGGGGGCGCATGCGTGTATGCAGCCGCTGAGGCCACGGCAGCCCCCCGGTGTGGCCTTGGGCACAACTGTTTCATGCGCACGAGAAAAAAGAGGCACCACCTTTTTAGGTTTCACTCCGCGCTGCATAGAAAGAGGACAAAAGGACAGGTTAGATCGGAGGGGGTGGGTGGGTGGGGAGAGGGGGTGGGGCTCGCGCACCAGGGCCCCTGAATGGAAAGGTGTTTTACCAGGTGTTCCTGCTTTGAGAGCGTTTTGTGGAAAGCTGAAAGAAAAGCCCCCGTGTCCTGGATCACCCGTAACCACCACCCCGCCCCCCAGATCAAGGGCAGAATCGAAGCCCAGCAGGGGAAAGGCCCCCACTTAGTGGCCGGAGTTCACGGCCCCTTTCCCGGGTCCTCATTCTCTCCCGGGACAGAGAGAGCTTCACTCTTGGGCTGCAGTTTGCAGGGCAAGGAAAGCGCCCAATTCATCGTCCCTGGACAGGAGACTCGAAAACGCTCCCCTCCCCGTTGAGCAAGGCCAGAAGGACCCATCGGAGGCAGCCATGGGACGGGCTGGAGGACCCCCCAAAGCCACCCACCAACCTCTCCCCACAACCACCCCGTACAACCTAAAGCCCAGCAGAGCAACGTCCCCCCCCCCCAGGCAAAAGGGGGAAAGAGTGTCGTGGGTTTGTGGATTCCTTTGCAACGCAGCGCAGTCCTTTCCCAAAACTCCCCGTTCCAGTTTTTGGCTCCAAAACAAAGAAAACACCAAAAGTGCCAAAGATGAGCGCGGCAAACAGCAGAACTCCTGATCGCTTTGTGGGGTATTATTTCGGCCTTTCTTTTTTTTTCATTTGTACGGATGAATCGCCCTCTGGCTGCGCAACGTTCACACGAGCGAACACCATGCAAAGAGGAGACAGAACCCGCTGCTCCATTTGCCTCTTTTATTCACGTTCTGCGACTGCAGAACGACAGACACGGCCGCAAGCGCTTCCCAAAGAAAATTCTGCCCAGGGAGGAAGGAAGGAGAGGCAGAGCTGCCTGCGGACAGTTAAGGCTCAAGAGCCCCCCTGGCCCGGATCCCTTTTCTGGAGCAAGCCCAGCGCTGCAGCGCATGGGCCGGCCTGAGCAGGGGTGGGATTCCGATTTTTTAACAACCGGTTCTGTGGGCGTGGCTTAGTTGGTGGGGGTGGCTTGGTGGTCATGTGACTGGGTGGACATAGCTTGGTGGTCATGTAACTGGCTGGGCGTGGCCAACTCAACATCACTCACACTGAGGCACGCATCTCCTCGCCTGGCCTCTCATGACTGTGGGGATGCTGCAACAGTCGTAAGTGTGAAAAAGGGTCATAAGTCACTTTTGTCAGTGCCACTGTAACTTTGCACTCCACACAAGCAAAGAACCAGCAAAGGAAGGGAAAAAAACTCCAGAGAAGTTCCAGAGACAGGAAGTCTAGTCCTGCCAAGAATGTAATCAGGGTTAATGGAGAGGCAGCTTCTGTAAGCAACACCAGAATGTTTCCTTCCTGCCTTCCTTACAGGACTAGGCCAGTAACTTCTTCTAACAACCGGTTCTCTGAACTGCTTAGAATGTTAACAACCGGTTCTGGAGAATAGGTGCAAACCTGTAGAATCCCACCCCTGGACCTGAGGAATGGCAGGAGAGCAACTCTCTCTTCCTCATTCGCTCTGCCCTCCCACTCCCCCCAGGCCTGCCATGGTGGGACCAGAGCCGGTCCCCAACCCCAGGCTCAGTCCGGCCCCAGGCAGACACAAGCAAAGCGCTTAACTGACAGCAGCCACATCCCTTCTGGGACCCCTGTGTTTCCAAGCTTCCCCCACCCACCCCCAACCGCCAGTGGAGCTGTCTGCCGCTTCAGATTGGGAGTCCCCAATTCAGGCTGTGATTTGCTCCTCAGGGCAGGGGAAAGAAACCGCTGGCCTGATGGGGGAGGCGCCAAAGGCCCAGAGGGAGCTCCTGTGATGGATGGGGGTGGGGAGGGAGAGGGGCCATCCAGGATGAAGGGATGCTCAGATCTGGGCAGGCAACAAACAGGCCCCGAACCACGAACAGCACAAGAGCCAGGACAACGTGAGGGGTCAGAGGGATCCCAGCATGCAGGAGCCTCAGTGGCGCAGTGGTTAGAGTGCAGCACTGCAGGCTACTTCTGCTGCCTGCCGGCTGCCTGCGATTTGGCAGATCGAATCCCACCAGGCTCCAGGTTGGCTCAGACTTCCATCCTTCTGAGGTGGGTAAAATGAGGACCCAGATTGTTGCTGACTCCGTAAACTGCTTAGAGGGGGCTGTGACGCGGTATATAAGTCTAAGGGTTATTGCTACTGCTATCTCAGCCACCATCTCACATGTTTGCAGGGCGGAAGCAGGTCTCTTTTCTTCTGCAACACTGATCAGGGCCCCGTGACTTCAGAGGGGGACAAGGGGGGGGGCAAGAGCTTTGGGGCTGAGGCCATGGGGCAGCTGCTTAAGGAAGGGCACAAGCCTGGCCAGAGCAGAGAGAACCAAGAGGAGGAGAGGCCCCCCAAGGAGAGGCTGCAGAAGTCGGGGGGGGGGGGAGAAGTCCGAAGCTCCGAAGAAGGCCGAGAGGAGCAGCTGCCTCCCTGCAGCCCTTAACAGGGAGAAGCAGCCTGGCTTGAGGACAGACTGGACGGAGGGAGGGAGGGAGAACCAAATGGCCATTCGATGGACAGAAGGAGCAAAGAAAACAGCTGAGCCGGACCTCGAGACGGAGGAGGCCCGTTGCCTATTTCATCCCACGGACGGTTTACAAGGATGGATAAAGCCACAAAAATATAAAAGCAGAAGAAAAAGTCTAAACCCTCACAAAATCAGAATTATTTTACATCCCCCTGGAATCACAAAAGCAGGGAAGAGCCTGGGGCCCGAACGAAGCCACCTGGCCCGCTGGGTGGGGGTGGGGGGAACCCGGAAGGAGAGGCCCTTTTAGGCCTCTTGGATCGGCACAAGAAGACGTGTGAGGGGCTGCAAGGCCACCCAGGTGGGCTTCGCTTCGATGGGGCCACCTGAGCTCATGGGAAGAGATCTTCCGGACGCTCAGTCCTTCTCCTCCAGGGCCGATGGAGACGTCCCTCGCCAGCTGAGCACAGGGTGGTGTGTTTTAGGTGGTGACGAAAAGGGTCAGGGTGGAAGAGGTCTTAGGTAAAGCAAGCAAACCCCTCCCATCCACCTCCAAATAATACGCAGTGGGCCCCATTGCAAAGCATCTCGTGGGAAAGGGGTCTGGCCACGTTTCCCTTTTGCAATGAACACCAGGCCGGTACAGGCGACATCGAACGATGATACGGCAGAAATAAACTACTTACCAGTTTGCTGGCTTTGGGGCCTTCTGAAGAATCTGGAGGAGAAAAATGAAAACAACAATGTTTTTGAAAGTGATTTTATTGGGGGGAGGTGGTATTTCCTCCTAAAAAGGCTACATGCCCCACAAGCCTGCACTTTGTGAGCTCCTGGAGAATTCTCTGAACTCGTTTGGAAAGGAGGAGGGAGGAGGAAGAGGAGGAGGAAGAGGAAGAGGAAGAAGAAGAAGAAGAAGAAGAAGAAGAAGAAGAAGAAGAAGAAGAGCAGCAGCAGCAGCTTTGAAGTAGGACCGTCCGGCCCTGACCCTATCTCTAGGTGTGGCCCTCGGGGTGTGGCCCTTGCAGGGAATCACAGAAGGTTTGCACCAAAAATGTGTGCCAATTTATGTCTTAAGAGTCCTGGGGTGCTTTTTGTTCCATCGCTGTCCTATTAGTAGCCTTTCCTCTGAAACTCAAGACTTCTTTATTTATCATTTCTTCCATGTGTTGTGATTATTCCTTTCCCCACCCTCCAGAGTTAGGGTTCGGCTGTGTCCATCGTGCTCACTCCTTCCTCCCATTTTTTTCCTCTACCATATTCCCCCTACCACCCCCCGCCCCCCTGTGAGGCAGCTTGGCTAAGAGAAAGGGATTCCCTGGGGCCTCCTTGGTGGCTGTTCATCCCCTCCACTCCTACCCTACCCACCCTGGCTCCTGGACTGGAGAGGGAAGGGCACTCAAAGCCCCCCCCCCCCCCCCCCGGAGCTCCTGGACCTGAGGGGAATCCTGCAAATGGGTCTCCCAGTCCCGGTCTAGACCTTTCACCCCACAGCCCCACGCACACCCCTCCCACCAGGTTCTGCAAGGCAGCAACCAGTCCACCTGCAGGGCGGAGAGGCCGATAGTCACAGGGCAGCTACCATAAACCTCGTCCCCGTCTTCAGCTGGACCCGGCCTGGACTGAACGTCCTGCTGGAAGCAACGCGGGCCAAACCACAAAAGGGAATCAAAGGGCCCAGCAAGGAAGAGAAAAAGCGACGCGGATTCCCCAACTCTGCCCCCTGCATTCTGGGCTCCGGGGGTGGGTGGGTGGGATGTGGGCAGGAGGTTCTTTCTCTTGACCTTTTGGGGCCCCCACAGTGATTTCCCCCAAGCCCTGGGGTCAAGCTCTCCTTCTCTGGCCCTCTGCCAGCCCACCCTCCACTAACGGCGGCTGGGGAAGCCATGGCCGAAAGAGGGGAGGCCAGCAGGCCATGAAAAAGCCTGCAGGGGCCTGTAGATCGCCTGTGGCGGTTTCCAAGGAAACCCTCCGGCAGAAAGCGATTGTCAGGGAAGCCGAACCCCCTCCAAGATGAAATGCCGCTTGGAGGCGGCTTCCCTGCCGCCATCTCTCCGGCATGCCGGCTCCTCTCTATTCCCCTTCCTTAACAACCGTCTCACTTTCTGCTTCAACCCCTGAGAACCAACTGCTTTTCCAGGCCTGAAGTGGGCCCCTCCCCTTTCCTTGGCCCAAGGGGGGAGGGCGGTCCTGGGGGGGCCCAGCTCAGCCAGCCCAGGCTCCCCTGGGACCAAGTAGATCCATGGAGGGCCTCAGCATCCAGCCCCACGAGAGCCAGGATCCGTGGGGGATTCTGGAATGCCACCATAAGCCGCCTGCTGGGAGCCCCGTTACTTATGACAGCCGGAAGATGAAAAGCAAAGGGAGAAAATCTTGGAAGGCTGACAGGCAGCCCCTCGTGGCCAGAACTTTTGTTAGGGTCTCCTCCTCTTGAAAGGCAAGACACGGCTGCCCAGAGGCAAAGGACCACCTTCTCGGAAGGGGTCTGGCCCCATTCCATGGGGATTTCACTCTTGCCACCTGCGCTGGCAACCTCTTTTATTCCTACCTAAACCGCTTCAAGGGGCAATGCTCAGAATCGGGGCATACAAGACAGGCGGCCACCCAAGGTTCCCAAAGGAAGAGACTGTTGTGGTCCGCCGGCGGCTTGTGGAACTGGCAGCAGAGTCGGACGGCGAGGAGGACCATGGGCCAGTCCTGGAGTCTGTGCAGGGCTCAGATGAGGGATCTGCGTACAACACAGAGATGGGGCCAGGGCCATCTGAGAGTTATGTGCACATCAGTGGGGCAGAGGAACAGGGGGAGCCTGTTCCCAGTGCGCGCTTGCACAGAACTGCCAGAAGGCAAGAAGAGCTAAGACAAAAGGGGCGACTTGGGAGTAAGGCTTGGAGGTGATTGGCCCCTCCCCTAAGACATAAAGAAAGAGCAAAGGGACTGGAGCCTTTGCAGGAAGCAACTTTGTTCGTACTGGTTGGTTTGAAACCTGAAGCTCTGTGTTGAATTTGTGCTCCGTTTTGGGCTTGTATAACTAATTGGCAATTTAGTTGTTGGCAGCATTTCAAGGAAGATAGAGGTGCGTGCTTAACAGACTTATCCCGAAAGACTGTAGCAGACTTCTGTGGGACTATTCATAAACAGTTTGGGACTCATGACGGGCTGTGAATGCATATAATTCACAGCCGTTGAAATAAAAACAAGGTTTTTGGGAAGAGCGTATGTCATTGTTACTGTCTCAGGAAGCCTTGGTCAGAACAGAGATAAATCTGGGGACATTTTCCATCGTAAATGGCCACAGTAAACAGGCAGGGAAGCCCCCCCCCCCCCAGGAGGCTGAAAAAGCCGAAAACCCTACCTCTCTTGGGGACTCTTGATGCCGAAGCCTCCGGGGTTTCTGGGGAGGTGGTGTCTGCGCCATCCTCAAACACCTGGATCTAAAGAGAAAGGAAAGGAGGTGAACAAAATGGCCCCTTCTTCTTCCTTCCCAGCCTCTTCTGGCCGCAACGCACCGAGACAAACTCCTTGTGTGTCCAATCGCACTTGGCCAGTAAAGAATTCAATTCAATTCAATCCTAAAAGGCTTTCCCTGCATGGCGCTGCATCCACCCGCGTGGTCAGCGTCCCCCAAGGCTGCCCTCTGTCCTTTGCCAGCCCAGAGTTTCAAGGACATTTCTGTGGAGCTTCCCAGGCAGGAAGGGGCCAGCCAGGCCCTTCTTCTTTGGGGCTCTGGCAGATCCCCCGAGGGTCCCCGAGGCAACGAAAGGTACAACTGGGAGATTCTGGGCTTCGGCCTGCTTTGCAAACGCCCTCTGCAGCTGACGAGGAGATCAGGATTGCGGGAGCCAATCCTCGTCTAAAAGCTGCTGGTTGCTTACCTGTGGCTGACTGCCAGTCCTTTCACAGGGGGGGCAGGTGAATTCCTCACAGGGGAAGCACCTGCACATTCGGCCTCATTCGGAGCCTTTTAGAGCCGACTGCCCACCCTCCACGCCTTTTGGGCCACGATTCCTCGGATCCCCAGGGCAGAGGCAAGGAAAAGCAAGACCACCTGAGACCCCCTGGGAGGAGGCTGGTATGCTTCCCAGAGGGCCGCTTGAGGGTTCGAAGCAACCACTTCTTCGCCACAGATTCGCACCCACCCCGGATACCCCTTCCAAAGCTGGCATCTCTTGAGGAATGCAACCCAGCCTGAATGTTGGGTGAAGTTGGGGAGGCGCTCCAGCAGGAGAAGAGCTGGGGGGACCCTGCCCTGGCTGCCTGGGCACAGAGGCTCAGCCAGAAGAAAGGAGGACTCCAGAAGCCACAGCTACCTAGCATCCTTCTGGACAAAGGGCAAAAAAGTCCCTGGGGCCCTGAACCCTGGACTGGGGGCCATGGGGAGGGTGGCTTCCACAGGAAGCACTGAAATGCTTGGGACTGAAATGCATCAGGACACCAAAGAGAAACCACAGACCCCCCCCATCCAGCATTACTCTTATACAGCGGCCAAGGAAGGAATTGAAAATAATGTTATATATTGCCATGTGATTTTAATGACCGGCTCCTTTCTTTTAGACCGATAGTTACCTTTATTTATTCATTTATGACCCACCTTTGCTCTTTTTTATAAACTCAAGGTGGCGAACAAACCTAGCGCTTCCTCCTCCTCCTCCTCCATTCCCTACGAGAACAGCCTTGTGGCTGAGCTGAGAGAGGAGGACTGGCACCCAGTCACCCAGCCGGCTTTCACGCCTACGGTAGGACTAGCTGCCCAAACCAACTAGGCTAAGCTTAAATGCTTATGGATGGAAAAGGCAGCGTGAAAATCAAAATCTTAAATAATTCTAGGAGTCCCAGCAAGCATGATATCATGCCTGCTTGGATGTCAGAATTTGGATGGATGGAATGGATCGATAGATAAGATAGATAATCATTGGGATCTTCTTGTGTAATTTTGCAGCCGAGACCCGGGGAAGAGAGCAACATGAATGGTCAAAGGAAGACCTTGACCTCTGCCCCTCCCCTTGGCTTCCTCAGGCCCCTTCAAGCAAGCAAAGACCTAAAGGAGTTTTCCCCCTACACCAGGGGTCCCCAAACTTGGCAATTTTAAGACCTGTGGACTTCAACTCCCAGAGTTCCTCAGCCAGCAAAGTTAAAGTCCACAAGTCTTAAAGTTGCCAAGTTTGGAGACCTCTGCCCTATACACACATACACACTCTTCCTTCTTGAGGGGGAGGAGCATTCGGGGCTCACCTGCGACTGTCTCACAAAGATGCCGTGGTTCTCCTCGCAGGTGAAGTACCGCCTGCCTTGCACCGTCCCGTCATTCTTGCCTTTGGCTTCGTCCAGGATGACGCCGACCCATTTCCCTGTGGCAAAGAGGGTGGCCCCCACGTATGCCACCGTGCCACGGTGCCCCTTGCCGATCACTTCCACTCGGGCACCCACTTTCAGGGGCTTGCTGCCCACTTCCGCGCTCATCCTGGCACTGGCGCTGGAGACCTAGAAGAGGCAGCACAAGAAGGAAAAACGGTGAGCCAGCTGCGCGTTTTTTTTGCTCGTAGCTTTTCCAGACCAGCTTTCCTGCGGGAGCTCAAGGCGACCCGTTTGGCTCTCTGTTCTTATTCCCGCCCAACACTGATCCTGTGGGGCAGGCTGGGCTGAAGGAAAGTAACCGGCCCCAGGTCACCAGACAACGACTATGCCTTGGTGGGGGTGGGGTACTGGAACCTGGGCCTGCCAGCCAAACAACTTAAGCGCTAACCGAGATGCCAACAACGGCCGCAGGGAAGGCCTTCCGCCCACATGGAGACCCTGAGTCCCAGCCCCTGCCCATCTGGGTGAAAGCTCTGCGCCTCCTTCTGGGACATCGGAGCCTCCTCAGGACCTTCCGGGTTGAGGATTCCCAGAGCGACTGCTCGGCCACTGATGCTGGCTCTTTCAGGCTCCAGTTTTGACTCTGCCCCCTTGGGCACTGACGGGAGGCCTCTGGAGGAAAGGCCTTTCGGAGCCCCTGGCTCTGCGCCTTGTCGCTCGGGGCTCCTGAAGGTGGCCAATGCGCCAGGAAGGGGATAAATCAAGCGGAGTCCGAGCCTCTCTGGGCAAACTCCAACCTGGTCTGGCCAGGAGGGGCCCTGGCACCAGCACCATCACATCCAGAAGGGACCTGGGCATCCTGCCCCGTGTGGGGCCTCTGTTGCCCAGCAAAGAGGACAGGCAGACCGGCTTTCCAGCACCACAAACATCTCTCCTTAATCGAAGATGCGGAAATAAATTGCAGAGGGAAGCTTCTCCCAATTGGTTCCCTCGGCGAAGCTCATGACAGTGTCATGGAAAAGGGCTCTGGATCCGAAGAGAGGAAGACCGCTGTCTGTTTGGAAACCTCAACGGGGATCAAGAGGCCCCCAAGGACCCCTGCCACTGCCTGGCACTTGGGAGAGCCCTTGTCCTAGGCCGGCTCCCTCTCCGGGCCCCACAGACACTGCCCTCGTATGAAACCCCAGAAGCCTTCCGGAGGGACCCGCACCTGGCAGGGAAGACCTGGTTCCCCTGCCCCCGAGTTTAAATTCCTGCAGCCAGCCCAGACCCTCATCTTCCCCGCCCCAGCCCAGAAGCCTCACAAGGGAGCAGGAACAGCCTAGCAACTCCTATTAATCCATTTATGTCGCGGCCTGATCTTCTTGCCCCAAAGATCTCAGGGCAGCGGGCCTCAAAATCAAACTCCAAGAGGCCAAAGGGTTCCAAAGGGAACCCCTTGGCTGTCCAGCCAGATCATGGAGGGAGGGAAAGACCCCAGGGGAGCTGCTTGGCCCCCTCCTCTTGGCGTATAGGCACCTTGGCAAGACCCAATGGGTGCCAGTTGATTGACAGCTAAGGTTATTATCTGTAATTCCCCTCTTATTGATTTCATTATTCATTTATGTATTTAACAGTCTTCTATGGCCGCTCATCGGATGAAAACGCAACTCTGAGCAGCTCAAACAGCAATGCAAGCCAAACCTCTGGTACTTGACCAGCGATCCCCAGTCCGTCCAGCAGCCTAACCCCTCAGGGTCTAGTCTCACCTCTCCCAGGGCCTGGGGGAAGAGCAGCCACTGCACCTTTCCACAAGGTTAAAAAGGAGGAGTGGGGGGGGGAGGAGGCTGGATCCCAGGGTGTCCCACAAGACGAGGCCGTGATGTAGAGGAAGGGAGCCAAATGTAGCCAGGGAGGGTATGTGTGCTCTGACTAACCCATCTGCCCCCTCCAAGATGCTGGCTGACTGGTTGGGGCAGCTGCATCCCATCAGGGTGACAGCCTGGACTGATGCCACGAAAGGCTGTCCAGGTGGCAACCCGCCCCGTGAATTGGGCCTGGAAGCAAAGTGGCAGCCGGTGGCGTAGCCGCCCTGCAGCTCGCTTCTGTAGCAGGTGAAGCGCCTGGATACTCTTCAAGGGTGGCTCCGCGTGGAGCGCGTTGCAGTAATCCAACCACGAGAGCGCCAGAGTGACCGAGCGCAGGGGCTCGTGATCCAGGAAAGGGGAGCAACCGGTGCACAACGCAGAGTTGCACCAGGGCTCTCCCAGCCGCAACTGCCACCTGCGCGTCAAGCAGGAGTTGCGAGTGCGTATGGGGTCCATTTGGAGCCCCACCCAGAACCAAAGCCCATGACTATGTGTGCTGTTCCATTCTGGACCAGTGGCCTTCAAGAGCAGCCCACCCCCTTCTGGGCACTTGGTGAAGCTTGGACTGGCTGATGCACCAGGCAGGCGCCGCTTCCGTTGCTGGGCCCCTGGAGTGCTTTGGGGCAAAGGCTGCCCGGCTTGGGTCGTGCCCCGTAAGGTCAGCCTTGTTTAGACTGGAGAGAGCAGCCGGGGTCACTTTGGCCTCTGCTGAAGCTTCCAGCCTGCGTTTACCCAGAAGGGACTGAAACCACTCAAAACCAGGGCGCCAGGAGATGCCAGAAGGGCAGAGAAATATGTGCATTTTACCACCCTTGTTGCCAAAAGGCGGCCTTTAATACAGGCTCTGCCTCCCTGCAGCAGCACTCATGGAGTCTCTCAGGCCACTTCCGCCCTGCAGCTGACCCAGAACCTGGGGCCCATCTGCGACCCAATCCGAGGCTGCAGTCCCTGGCTCCTTCCAAGCAGCGGCTAAGGCCGCTTCCACTGAGCTGTGCCCAGAGCCACCCCAGAGCTCCCTCTGGAGCGCCACTGGGTCCAGCGGGGTCCTTCCTCCTTTCCACCAGCCGGGCCAGCAGGAAGGGAGGCGTCCGTGGAAGGGACTGAGGACAAGGTCTCCCCATTCTAGATCCCTCTGCCTCCATCCCAAGACAAGCACCGGCTGCAGCGAAGGCCACCGACCTGACGGTCCCCAGTCGCCTCACCAGGCAGATTTTCAGCTGCTCTGAGAAGCTCTAGGAGGGAGGAGGCTGCCCGGCTGGCCTTCCTTGGCTTCAGTTAAATGCTTGGCTTGATGTTAGGCTTGAATCTGAGCTTACACCCACATCCGGTCAGGTTCCCTCATTTCCTGCCAGCATTACTCCAGGTGCCTCTTGCACCCACTCCACCTTCCAGAATAGCAACACCCGCCCACCCTGGAGAAGCTCACAGCATCCACATGCAAGGAGAAGCTCACAGCGTCAAAATCACTTTAAAAATTAACATTCAGTAAAACCACGTCGTGAAAACACCCGTGAAAATTAATGCCCCGGTAATTAGGAGCTGGCCCAAATCAACGAAGCAAACCTTGAGGTTTGGCTCCCGGGGAAAGAGAGCCAAACCCCGGGAAAACCTCCGGAGCAGAAATGCTTTCTCCTCTCCTGCCAGAGGCGCCATGTGCAGAACGTGGGAGGACGCCACGGCTCTGCAGGCCACGACAGCCGGATGGCTTCACCTGAAAGCCGCCTGCCGTTTGCGCCTTTGATCCATCCCGCAAATCTCTTCCCTTCTTATCCCCCCAAGAATTTTGGTCTTGAGCCACAAAAAACTCCAGACTGCAGCGATGATGCCGGGGAGAAAAGGGCCTGCCTGGCCAAACCCCTGAGCCTGAACAGACAGACATCTCAGGAGAACGCAGCCTGCGGGTGACATACCCCTGGGCCCTCCAAACCTCACCAGCCCTCCAGAAAGAAGTGGGCTCCGCCACTGACCGGTGGGTGACAGGAAGGGCCCACTTGGGAATGGACCTGGCTTTATGGCTGGAGCAAGGCGGAGGAACCAACGTGGAGTTCAAAGGCAACCCAGGCAGAAGCCCAGATGAAGGAATCAAAGCGAAAATCCCCCGTGTCCGAACTGAGGTTTGACAAAAGCCCAAAACGGCCTGGAAAAGGAGCTGCCCAGGCAGCCTGGGATTTGAGAAGGCTACCAGGGGACACCGAGGTCGGGGCCCGTTCTGATTTAATTACTCCGCAAGGAGCAGCAGCCAGCCCAGAATAAGCACCTGCGTTGGCCGCCGCTCCTGTCCTGGAGTTGCGACTCCAAACCTCTCCTCAGCCCCTGTAGCAACCGAGGAGGGCCTGCCTGGGCCCCCTCCCTTTCCCAAGCCCCACTCCGGGCCTTCTCCTGAGTCACTCCCAACTGAGGGAGCTGCTCCTGCCGGCCCTAATCCTTCCCCTTTCGGAGCCAAGACATCTATTCATCTCCTCCAGTCAGGCATTTTCAGCTTGGGTTAACTGGAGGATGACTGGGCTGGCCTAAAAAAGGTTTTTAAGAGGTGGGTTTTATTTTCTGCTGTGAGTCACAGGACAAAGAACAAAAAGCCAAGCATGAATAAAGGTAGGAATGTGGGCCAGGCAGGCAGGCAAGCAAGCAGGCTGGCCCAAACCACACTTCGTTGCCTTGCCTTGCTTTGCCTTGCCTTGCCTTCCCTTCGCTCATAGCCCCTGCCTTTCTTTCCCCTCTTCAGCCATTGTCCTCGCTTTATACAGCACTGTTTCCTCCGAGAGGGAAATGTGGATGATCAGAAAGGCGGGATATAAATCTTGGGAACAAATCAAGCCAGCCAGTCTCACCTCCTTCCAAGGACATAGACCAATTCTGCAACCGCTTTATTAGCAACCATAAACGGAAAAGTCTCGGTTATGGTGGTCAGCCAGGCCAAGCCACAAAGTTCCTCTTGGGAAGGCCCAAACAAAGAAGCCACCGGCTATGATCGGTGTTGACTTTTCTAAATCCAAATGCAAAGCAACCGGCCAAATGCTGCTCAGCATCTTGTGTCTAGTCCCACAATCTCCCTGTATTCTGAAAAAAAAAATTGGAAGGAAAAGCACCGTGCAACAGGGGAGACGCTGCCCTTCCGTTTTCCAATGGTCCATCTCTTCCGAGAACGTCGTGCCCAGAGACACCACCTGTCTACACGTTCCGGAAAGGCACCTACAACACCCCAAGGTTTCTTCATCCTGAATCAAACAATCGGCACAACGTCACAGCTCAGAACTGGCCAGGGATGGGTGTCTGGGGTCATTTCCCAGGCTACCTGGTGATGCAGCCAAGGAGTGACAAGGGATCTCCTACCTGAGAAAC